TAATAGAATTCCCAAGGGTGGGAAATGGAGCCTAGGTGGGACCAAGGTTGGGAAGTGGTCTGGGGCCATAGAGAGGCACCAGTTGATGGGACTATAGCCTCAGGGGAATGCCAGAGATTTGGCCATGTGGGGAAGTCCAGGCTTTTTCCTTTCTGGGGCTCAGATTCCAACCCCATCAGACTGATGCTGAGTGAAGGGAGCAGAACCAGGAGGAAGTTGTACACAGTGACAGCCACGTTGTACGATGAGTGACTTTGATAGACTTGGCTCTTCTTAGCAATGCAAGGATCTAAGACATCTCCAAAAGTCTCATGATGGAAAATGCTATCCACATCCAGAGAAAGAACTGTGGAGTCTGAATGCAGATTGAAGCATAGTATTTGCTATTTTTTTCCTTCTGTTTTGTTTTGTTTCCTCTTTCTTGTGGTTCTTTCTATTGGTTCTAATTCTTCCTTACAACATGACTAATGTGAAACTATGTTTAATAGGAATATATGTATAGCCTATATCAGATTGAGTGCCATCTTGGGGAGAAAGGGGAGAAAAATTTAAAAATCAAAAGCTTATGAAAGTGATTGTTGATAAGTCAAAATAAACTAATAAAAAATGGAAACTAATTTCCTCAAAAAAGAAAAGGAAGTAAAGAGAAAAAAAGTTATTCAGAGCTGGGAATTGTTGCTATGTGTCTTTTTTTTTTAAAGGAGTGTATGAATTTGTGGATAGTATTTCCTTTCAACAGGCCAAAGGGTATTGGATTTTAAAAAAATTGTTTATCATTAGCGACTATAAATCCAGATTTGATTTTATTTGTCTTTTTGCCTCAATTTACTGTTTTGTAAGGGGAGGAACTTCCCAAGGATATTGTAAGGATCACATGATTGTAAAATGACTGGCATATGTTAGATAACATTATTATTATCTCTCTAATTTAAAGTAATATAATTGTTAACATAAATTTAATATATATTGTTAATGTAATAAGACCAATAATTTCTATATGTGATAATCTGAAAATGTAATTGATGTCATCTGAAGTTTATTGTTTGTGTTTCTAAATTGTATTGTATTTCTAAAATTCTCTTAGATTGTAAAAATTTAAGGGACCATTGTGAGGTAGAAATGCTGTTAAAAGCAATTTTTAATCTGAATTTTTGTTGTATATGAATTGGGCCTTCTAAAAAAGATGGTGACAAAATCTTTTTGAACATTGTTAACATTTAATGAAGTGTATTTGGTTATAAATAAGTAATAATAATAATACTGATATTTACTATGAGAGCAGAGTTTTCATTTGAAATCTTGGCTATTATGAAAATATATAAGGTGGTTTCAGGTTGTAATTCCAACATATTAATGATGAGATAAATGATTCTCTGTGCAAGGTGATTTAGAAATGCATTTACCTAAATTGATAATGGGTTGTTTCAAGTTTTAAATACATGTGTAAGGCATTGTTACATTTCTAAATTGTCCAGTTTGGTAAACAACTGTATCATCTGTGTTGTTAGAAAAGTCATTTCTCTTATAATCTAGATGTTGTTAGTTTAAGAATTGTTTTGTCAGAGAAAGAGAAAAATAAATGGGTTAAGAAGCGGCTAAGTCATTCTATCTGATCATGTGTTGTAACATTTTGAAGTACCGTAATTTAAGAAACCATAAACTTCCCAGTTTTGTCTATATTTAAAACAAAGTTTCAGCTGAAATTATTTGGTTCTCAGTTATGAAATTTGAGATTGTTAACTAAGCTATTTGAAGTTATTGTAAAAGTATTTTTGTAAAAGGAAACTTGGTAATTGTGCAAGACAGGACCATGAAAGATCCCTTTATAATTTAGTTTGTTACAGTAACGGGATATGAGAACAGTAAGCTGTTTTTAAGAAAGTGAAATACTTTTTATGAAGAAATGTTTTGCAAAATCTTTTGTGTGATTTTAGGCCTACTAAATTTCTGTTTGCAAGCTAATTTGTTGCAGCAGTAATTTGATATTGATGACAATTACGTCCAAACCTACCGTGAATTTCGAGTTTGTTTTCCTAGGTATGAATTTCCTAGGCTTGTTGTGTCCTGTGTCCTTGGACTGGCCTTAATGGGTGCTTTCTGAGAAACAGAGTCAGTCAGCAGCTCGATAGGAGCAGTATCGGAAGTATTAATGCTGAAGTAATTACTGTAATGAGCTGTAAGTGGGAAGGATCTTGCTGTTTTGATCTGAATTCATTCCAAGGCCTAGCAAGGGTTCAAATTAGTGTTCGAACTTCTCACATGTATAAGACTCAATTCCTGAAAGTGTCTCCTTCTTCTTCTTCTTCTTTCTTTTGCTAGGCAATGGGGTTAAATGACTTGCCCAGGGTCACACAGCTAGTAAGGGTTATGTGTCTGAGGCCGGATTTGAACTCAGGTCCTCCTGAATCCAGGGCCGGCGCTCTATCCACTGCACCACCTAGCTGCCCCTAAAAGTGTCTCCTTCTTCCAGGCTAAGTATGGTTAGAGAGGGATAAATAAGCTTGAGAAACAGAGATGCCAATCTGTTAGAGTAGTAACTTGTGAAATTTGACTTTACTCATGGTGTTACTTAATCAGGAACTGGACCATGTGTAGGAATGCATGTAAACTACTTGGGGTTCACTTTAGAGATGTTCCCTAACCAATGTGAGATTATAGTCACATCTGCAACTGTGATTATTGGAGACTTGTTATTCAAGACCTTGGAGGACTGATAACTGACTTATTTCTGAGTCTGGTTCCAGGTCTGGTTATCAAGGTGAGCCATTGAACCATGATGCCAGAAACCCTGTGTGGGGTCTATGAGCTGCCTCTATAAACTGCAGAGGGTGCTCTCCTGGGAAGGTCGGGAAGGTCTACATGAGCTGAGGTAGGATTCTCCTGACTCAATTTCCCCACTATGACACCTGGCAGACTTTAAGCCTGACTCAATGCAGTCAGCCTTTACATAACTTCTGCCTGGAATTGACATGAAGTTAGGGAAGCACCGTTCCCTTACTGTCCCTCTTTTATGGCAATTTTCCATAATCAAAAGTTTTGTAAGCACATTATTAAATCTATGAAATAAAAGATTAATGCTGGAAAACTGAGATTGTTATGGTAAGATGCACGTATAAGATTGAGCTATTTGGCCTAGAATTTTAGAATCGAGTATTTAGCCTTGACATCTGCTACTAGTATAACACTGCATAAGTTAGGGTCCTTTAATTCCTGGTAATGGTATGGGGATAATTAGGCCAAGGCTCGTGAAACCAGGATATTGTTCTGTTCCTTAGTCAGTATCTTACCTGTCTCAGTTTGTTATAATTACTTTTTCCTTTTGGGTCTCTGTATCTGTACTTGTGGAGAGGACTTTTTTGATTTGTCAATGTGTTGATAGATCAATTTCTCCCTCCTCTCTCCCATATTGTTATAAGTCCCCAAAGACACCTTGATGAAATGTTGACCATATCAGCTAGTGATTCATTGAGAAGGCTACGCCTTTCATTAGAATCAGATGGTGCAATGTGAAAAATGATTTCTCTTGGTAATCTGTGTTTTGGAAACTCAGTATTCCACCCTGTCAGTCTTCTGACCAAAGTTCTTCAGAAGGACATCTCTGATAATGAGATTGCATTGAATCTTCTTATCTTGGTCAAATTCCAGCCCAGGCCTGAATTAATTTTGTCCTACTCAGGTTTGGGGAGAGACAGACTCCCAAGACTGGGGGTGGTATTTCCTTTGATGGCCAGATGACATCACTAAGTGATCTAAAGCATTGACTCAAGATCTCATTTTATTATATAACCCACCTCCTTGTACATTGGCCAGTCATGGTTGATTGGCACCCCTTGGGAACACCTACTTTTTGAAAGACATGTAAGGCTGTACCCCAAAATCCCAAAACAAGTCAGTTCTGAACTGGTACTCTTAGGAGGCCCCAGTTTTGGACTGAACTCCCATGCAATGCATGTCAAGCCAGCTTGAGAGAAATTAAATTGTGGACACATGTACCCCAATTTCATTTGTCTCTTTCTTAGATAATAAATTGGGGTTTGTGGGGTTCACAGGGTTTGGTGTTCACACTTTGTATGGGTGGTGCTTAGCACAGATACATAGCAGGCACTTAATAAATGATTGTTGACTTGGTTTAATACTGTGCTACTTACTTTAATTAATTAAATTTATATAATGGAGCAGCTAGTAGATAGAGAGCCCTGGACCTGGAGTCAGAAAGAACTGTGTTCAAATGTGACCTCAGATACTTCCCAGCTGTGTGAGCCTGGGCAAGTCACTTAACCCTGCTTGCCTCAGTTTCCTCATCTGTAAAATGACCTAGAGAGGGAAATGGCAAACCACTCCAGTATCCTTGCCAAGAAAAGCCCAAGTAGAGTCACACAGAGTCAGACGCCACTGAAATGACTGAACAACAAGCACTAACTTGAATTGTTAAATCCTATGGATTTATTATTATATTAGTTGAAGGAAATAATTATATTATTATATTAGTTGAAGGAAATCTTGTATTTGAGTGATAGATTATGGGAGGTAACAAAGTATGGTGGCTAGAGAGCTGGATTCAGAGTCAGGAAGACTGGGTTAGTCTCACTTCTGACCCATACTGGCTATGTGACTCTGGCACAATGGCTAGAGCACTGGACATGAAGTCAGAAAGATCTGAGTTCAAATCCTGCCTCTGATACTTACTGAGTGACCCTTGGGCAAGTTACTTAGTCTCTGCTGCCACAGTTTCCTCACCTATAAAACGGGGATAATACCTCTCAGAGTTTTTGTGAGGATCAAATGAAATAATATTTCTAAAGTGCTCTGCACAAATAAAAGGGATATGTAAATGCTAGTCCCAACAAAAATAATACTAAATTATCATTGTATCACTTCACCTCTCCATGCCACAGGTAATTCTCTAAGACTTAAAATTGCTAACAAAGTGCTGCCCTGTATTGGTAGAGAAAATCCCCTGGCAGAAGCTCTGCAGACCAATAAAATCATAGGTCATGTTCAAAAAATAAATACTGGATAAGGGTTTATATGATTATGATTACATAGGATATGATTATATGATTTTATATATATGATTATATATGTATCAATCAAAGGCTATGAACAAACAGTTCTCAAAAGAACTGTAAAGTTTTGACAAGCACATGAAAAAAATGCTCCAAATCACTAATAATAAAGCAAATGCAAATCAAAACCACCCTGAGGTTTCACATCACACCCTGCAAATGGACAAAAATGACAAAAAATGACAACTATCAAGGTTGGAGGGGTTGTGTAAGGATAGGCACACTAATACATTGTTGGTGGAGCTGTGAAATGGTACAATCATTTTGGAAAGCAATGGTATTATGCAAATGAAGTAACTAAAGTGTACGTACCCTTTGAATCAGAGACTCCATTATTGAGCTTATACTCCAAGGAAGCCATTGATAAGAAGAAAATGCTCATATATACTAAAATATTTATAGCAACTTTTTCTGATAGCAAACAAAGAATTGGAAATCTGGTAGATGCCCATCAATTGGAGAGTGGCTTAACAAGTTGTTGTACATGAATATAATGGAATGCTACTCTGATGTGTGTGATGATTGCAGAGAAACATGGAAAGACCTATATAAACTGATTGCAGACAAAAGTCAGCAGAGCCAAGAAAATAATCTACATGATAACTACAACAACTGAAATAGAAAGAATAGCACACCAAAAAAAAAATCAAGAATAAATTAACAAAATTAGAAAGCTCAAGCAGGACTCACATGAAGAGAGAAGACACCTCCAACCTACTTCTACATGGAGATGGGAGGTCCACAGCTGTTACACATGACACATGTTTCTGGACTTTTTCTATGTATGGATCCATTGTGCTGACTTGTTTATTCCTCTCTTAAAAAATACTGTTTGTCATACGGAATGACTCTCTGGGAGGGGAAAGGGGAATGTTACTTGGAATAACTATGGCAAAGTAAGAAACAAAATATTAATAAACAATTTTTAAAATGCTGGATCATGTTGCCAAGCCGGGGACAGAGGCCAGAGTTATGATGAAGTTTCCAAAGTACATTACTCATGGGAAAGCAGGCAGTGTGCTCTTAGTGGTCAAACAATGTCCTTTGTCTCCCTCTGTGGGTATGTGATAGGCTGATAGTTACTTGTTTCTGTAAAAGCATACTGTAGGAAAACCAGACCAGGGTAGCTCTACTACCATTCGTACATTTAGCACACATTCCCCATCCCAGCTATTGCAATCAAATCTTCTATTCAAGTTCCAAAAAATTGACTTTACAAATGTAACTTGGGAAAGGCATGGTTAGATAGCAGTTTGGGAAGAAAAAGACCTGAGGTGTTTAGTAGGCAGCAAGCTTGGCAATGATGTGGCAGCTAGAAAAACCAATGGGATGATCCTATACTACATTGAGAGGCAGAGCTTCTAGGAATAAGGACATGAGTCTCTCTGTCCTTTCCCGTAGTCAGACAACCTCTGGCATATTGTGTTCAAATAGATTTTTTTCAATGCAAATGTAAGACTTTACATTTATTTTCATGAAGAAAGATAATAATTAGAAAAAAGATCACTAGGCTCAGTCCCATGCGCTAGCAGGTCAAGGAAGCCTGTTAGGGTAAAAGCCTAACACCCTCTCATCCAATGCATTCCTCTTCCTTCCCAGCTTTGTATAACTCCCAGATTGGTTAAACATTCCTTTATCCAAGTCCTTGATAAAAGGCTTAATCAGCATGAATCCGTGGTTTGCCCCATTCTGCAGTCATTTACAAAGAAAATTGGGATCCAGAGACAGGAAATGATTTAGCTGGGGCTATACAGTTAGTAAGCAGGAGAACTTGAATTTGAACCCAAGACTTCTGAGTCAGAGCTTAGTGCACCCTCTGCCAAACTGTACTGCTGGGTCTGGGTCCTGGTGAGAACTGAATGCTGAAACCAAGCTTCACTCATTTCCAGGGAACTTGAGGGAAAGTGGACAAGCTGTGTGCAGCCCAGCCCTCTTTCCAGAGGCGCCTGGCTTTCCCGTGAATCATCAGCATCATTGATGTACCAGGTCTGAAGGTGATTTTGTGCCCTACCAGCAGGCTGCTTGTGCTAGCAGAGCCAGCACAGTGGGGTTGGGGGTGGGGGGTTGTGGCTGGAGGCTCAGAGAGGGTCCAGTCCTGGGTACTCTGCCCTCCCACAGTGGGGCTCTCTGGATTGGCCCTCAGCCCAAAAGGACTGCCTTGTACTATTCCCTAACTAGCCTGCTGATGTGGGCTAAGTAGCGCTCTTCCTGAACAGAAGACTGTAAACTTTTTGTAGGTGAGAGTTGTCTCACAAGGCCCTTGTATCCCCTGGCACAGTGTTAGGCAAAGAGCAGGCACCCAGATGTTCAAGATCTTAGAAGTGGGGTCTAGCTCCAGGGCATTAAAAGACCCTAAGGACAAGTATAGCAACATGTATATAGAGCTCCCGGATTTGAGAAACACTGCTCACAGTGGTGGAGATAGAGCCTGTGTTATTATCTCCATTTTACCAAGATGGAAACCGAGGTAAGAGAATCACATAAGGAGCGTCAGAGGCGTGATGGAAGCCGCAAAAACAAATCTCTCAAGTCATTTCGCAGGTGGAACCCTTCCGCCTCCCCCTCCTACCCCCTGCCGTCTGGTCCAACAGTCTTTAAGCTAAACAGGGCCGTTTACATGGCCAACTTCTCAAACAATTAAACTCAAAGGCCAGTCTGGGCCAGGGTGGGGACTGAGGGACACAGTGGGGAAAGCAGAGCATAGGAAAGGTTTTTCCTCCCCGCCCCGCCCTGCCCTCTGCTAGACTCAGGACTTTTTAATGGGACTCTCCAGTTTGCAGGGGCGATTGCTTGTGGGTGGGCCAGGGCTTGAGGCCCCAGGGGCCCGAAATGGAACCAGAGAGGCAGTTGGAGTATCTTGCCCCTCGCGGGCCTGGTGGGCGCTGGGGCTGGTAAGAGTGTCTGCTAGCTCAGAGCGAGAGGACGAAGGAGCAGCGCTTAGAGATGGAGGTTTATTCCCGCACCGGGCCACAGGCACACAGACAGACAGACAGGCTCAGGCTCCAGCTGCAAGGGCGGTCGGGGCACTGCTGCCCAGGATCTGAGGAAAAGGGAGGATACTCTGTGGCCCGCCAGGGGCCTGCTTTATGCCGAGGGAAGGGAGGCAGCGGCCACAGCCACACGCGCAGACACTCAGGGGGATGGGGGCGGCAGGACAAGTGGACAGAGACAGGGCTGGGCCAGGAGGCTTTACGGGAGAGTGGGGAGTGGGGTCTCGCCTGCCCGGCCTCCCAGGGATTAATCCTGTGGATCCACGATAAGCGGGGCCTCATATTGAGAGTGGCGGATCCCGAAGGAGGGACCAGGTGCTTGGCGATGCTGCAGGGGAGAGGGAGAGCTGAGCAGGAGTCCCCCACCACCTGCCCCCTGACCAGGCCTCTAAGCCCCCTGAGCCCTTCCCTTCCCCTGAGGCCCCTGGGCCCTAGGGGTCCTTATCTCTTTGAACGTTTCTCCCGTTCTCCCATCTCTCCAAGTTCTCTTGGAGCAGAGGCTGGAGACGTCTCTGGAAGCCCCCTAAGTCTTCCCTGAATACTCCACCTTTTTGAGGACCCTTAGCTCCCTCCTCTTGGAGCACTCCACATCTCTCTGAGTCCTCTGTTCTCTCCCCTAGATCTCTCTCTCTCTTTGTCTGTCTCTTTCCCCTCCTCTCTCTCTCCTTCTCTCTCCCTCATCTCTCCCCTTCTCTCTCCTTTTCCCTCTCTGTCTCTCCCTTTCTCCCCTTCTCTCTCCTTTCTCTTTCTTCTTCTTCTTCCTCCTCCTCCTCCTCCTCTTCTTCCTCTTGTCTCTCTCTTTGTCTCTCTTTCCCCTTCTCTCTCCTTCTCTCTCTCTCTCTCTCTCTCTCTCTCTCTCTCTCTCTGTCAGTAGCTCTCTGTCTCGCTCTCCTCTCCTCCCCTCTCCCCTTTCTCCCTCTTTCCCCCACCCAGTCTGTCCCTCCAGTCAGCTGTTCCCCGGCCCTCAGCTTGAGATCCCTTGCCCCCACCTTTTGAGGATGGTAGGCCGCTGGACCAGGATTCGCGGAGTTGTCTTGCGGCAGCGAGGTGCGGGGCTGCATCGTATACTGTGGAGCCCTGGTCTTGTACACGCCAGGACTCACCTCGTGATAAGCACAGGGGCCCGGGGTCTGCATGGGCAGGGGTGTGATGATTCAGACCTTACGGCCCGGAAGTCTGCCTCGCTCTCTCCTCTCCTCTCTCCCCCCCCCCATCCCATTTGGTCCCGTCCTGCCCCCCCGGTCCACCTACATCCCCACCTTGCTCAGGTCTTGGCAGAAACCGCCTATAGTACGTCGGCCACAGATGGAGTAAGTGGGAGCCGAAACCTTGTCGATCAGACGGCAGCCCAAGAGCGAGGGAACGGTGTAGGCCGCGGGGCCTGGGGCGCAGGGGAGGCGAGGAGAGCGGGTTGGGCCGGGGAGGTGAGGGTGTGGGAGATCTGTTCCCTGACTGCTGGTGTGGGAGGGGGAGGTAATGACCTCCTTACCATCTTTCAAGGACTTTCTTTAAGATCGTCAGACCCGCTAACCTTATCCTTTCATTTTACAACTGGGAAACTGAGGCCCAGAGAAGGGAAGGAACCTGCCCAAACTCCCTTTCTTGGCTCTACCCCCCGCCAGCTCTTGGAGCAAGGGGTGTGTGCGCGCGTGCATGCGTGCATGTGTGTGTGTGTTCCCAGTATTTAGGTGCTGTTCCAGACCAGTCTGGAAGGCAGATTGGGGGCTCACCGGGGGTCCGGTCCTCCTGAAAGTCTTTGATACGGCCGGCCATAGAATGCCTGGGGGCTTTGGGGAATGTGAGATGGGTGGCTCGCTCTGGAAAGTAGCGACCTGCAGGGAGGAGGGCTGCGGTCGGTCCCTGGGTGGCACGGTTGGAGCGCCTGGGCTGGGGGCTTTTCAAGTGGGCCAGGGGACACTTGGGCCCTAGATCCATGGGTGGTGGGGGTCAGAGAAGGGAGACCGTTCGGGAGCCACTGAGGTGCCAAAGCGGAATCTAGCTGGGTTGTCCAAGTCAAGGGACCTTAGGGCTGTCGGGGTGGGTTTCTCCTCAGTGTGGGTGGAGCAGGTCCTCCCTGTCTCCGCATCCTCTCGGGGGAGAACTGAGAAGGCTAGGCACCCGCTAGGGGTTGGGGGGTGGGGAGGGAATCAGGGCCCAGACTGGAGATTCGGAGCCAAGCTATCAGGGGGTGGAGGCGGGGGCGGGGGCGTAGGGCTTAGGTTTGGGACCCAGCGCGGGGTGCGCTGAACTCTCCGCTTGGGTCCTCTCTGACCAGGGCCCGGAGTGCGGAACAGGCGGCAATCTCGGGGCCGCCCGTAGATGGAGAAGGCAGGCCCGCCGTCGGGGCCCCGAACTGTCATGCGCTGCGGGATGAGGTGCCCAGGGCCGGGGCCATACGTCACGTGGTGTGCGGGGATCTTGGTGCCGAATGTGTAGGCAGGTGCCCGGAAACGGGATGGGTCGTGCATCTTATAACCTGGGGGAAGGAGGGAATCCAGGGCAGAAGGGGATGCAGAATTGGGCGGGAGGGTCCACCCCCATTCCCTGCCCAGAGACCGCCCATCGATCTCCCAGGTTCCCCATGACTCGGCCGAGTTAGAGACTCACTGTCCTTTGCTACACTGGGCCGGGTCTTCTTCTGCCCAGACCCCTCCTGCCTCCCGAGACTGGAGGCTGGGCATCCTGCCCAACACGATCCTACCGTCCCCCAGAGCCCTCCCTCAGTCTCCCGAGGGGGGAGTGGGGGAGGGCTAGTGCACTAGGGCTGCCGTAGGTTTGGGGGCGCCGAGTCCTATCTCCCTCAGAACCTCCCAGTCCCCTCATCCTGGACGTGCCATACCGGTGCTAGGGGGCAGCTGGTACTTGGGCCCAGGACCACTGTAGAGTGCTGCAATGGGGCCCCGTGGTCGGTGGGGCCGCCAAGAGCCCACCCACACGCTGTTATCCATCCCGGACTTTGGACGAGGTTTGCGGCACCTGAGAGGCAGAAGATGCTGTTGACCCCGCCAGAGGCTACCCCTGGGAGCCCGCAGCCCTCTTCCTTGCTGGTAGAATTTGGCCTCTAGGGCTGTGGCAGTCAGATCGGCCACGCCTCCGGCCGGTCTCCGAGGCACCCGGACAACAAACAGAGATCTTTTAGTGGGAGGAATTGGGAGGGGGGGACTACGACTGGGGGCCCAGAACACCAAGGTCACCCCGCCTCCAGAGACAGAAACCAAGGACTCCACGGCCCCGTCCCCATTTGCCCCCCAAAGTGGCAATAAGCAGGGTGACAGAAGGAACCTCAGGAGACTCGAGGGGAATCAGTGACGGGTTTGGGTGGTCATTGGGAGGTCTGGGATTCACAATGAGGGGGCTCTGGGTGGATCAATGAGAGGTTTGGGGGTTCACAATGAGGGGCTTTGGAGGGGTCAGTGACAGATTTGGGGTGGTTAATGGAAATCCTGGCCCTGAGGCAATTATGTAGATACTAACATCAGGAAAATAATTGAAAGCTGGGGTGGGGGGAGGGGAATACAGGCAGCCACCTCTGGGGCCGCACTCACCTATTTCGTCCCCAGCAGAGCGGTGGGGAGGAGCCTGAAGAAGCTGCGGCTCAGAAACAAACTGACCATCCCGGTGGGAGGCCCCGGTCCCCTAGGCCTAGCCCCGCCCACAAACCCTATTGTGGCCCCTCCCCTCAGCCTCATTGTGGCCCCTGTTCGCTCGAGAAGCGGCTCTGCTTCCTCCCACCTCTCCCCGACGCACACACTGCCTCCCACCCCACCTTTGTTTCACCATCGCTTTCTGTGGACCTGGGAACTGGTCGGAGCCCGGGGATGGGGAAGTGGACACTTGGGTTCCAATCGTGGCTCTGTCCCTGACATGCTGTGAGACCCAGATCTTATTCCTTGCTCTTCTGTGGGCCTTAGTTCCTCTGCGATGAAATAAGGGTTAGCTTGCCCCCAAGCAGGGGAGAGGAGCAGGGACCTTCAATGACTGATCCTCTCCCCCCACTCCAGACTACTCTCCTCCCAAGATCACCAGGGTCCTGTAGATGGCCAAGGCTAGTGTCCTTTTCTCGGTCCGTCCTCATCCTCCTTGGATTTTCTGTGGTTTTGTACCCCAGTGATCCTCCACCCCAGGCCCCATTCTTTGCTTGCCTTTAGGAAGGTCGTGTGCCACTAATGCTTTGTTGATGGAGTGGTGAACTGATCCAGCCATTCTGGAGAGCAATTTGAAACCATGCCCAAAGGGCAATCAAACTGTGCATACTCTTTGACCCAGCAATACCACTACTAGGTCTGTATCCCAAACAAAAAATAGGAAAAGGACCTCTATGTACAAAAATATTTACAGCAGCTCTTTTTGTGATGACAAAGAATTGGAAATTGAGAGGATGCCCATCAATTAGGGAATGGCTGAACAAGTTATGGTATATGATTTTAATGGAATACTTTTGTGCTATAAGAAATGATGAGCAGGATGCTTTTAAAGAAACCTGGGTTTATATGAACCGATGCAAAGAGAAGCGAGCGGAACCAGGAGAACAGTGAATTCAGTAACAGCAACATTGTAACAACGATCAACTGTGAATGACTTAGCGATTTTCATCAATCTGATGATCTAAGACAGTTCTGAAGGACCCATGATGAAAAATGCTACCCGTTTTCAGAGAAAGAACTGATGAACTCTGAGTGCACATTGAAGCATACCATTTTTTATTTTTTGTGTTTTTTTCTTTGTTTTTTTTCCCACATGACTAATATAGAAATGTTTTGCATGACTGCACATGTATTACCTATAACAAATAGCTTGCTGTCTCAGGGAGGGGGTAGGTAAGGAAAGGAGAGAGAGAATTTGGAATTCAATTTTAAAAAATGAATGTTAAAATTGTTTTTATATGTAATTGAAAAAAATAAAATACTTTTAAAAGGTCATGTGCTCCTGATTCTCCTTCTTATCAGTCCTGGCTCCTTCTCCAGCATTTTCAGGGGGTTTGAGAATGTGGTGGTGCCTCAGGTTTCTTTTCTCAGCTTTCTCTAGCTCTTCCCAAACAACCTCTTTCTGTTGTGCACTTCAACCCCCTTCACTGTGTGGGCCCCATACCTAGCACCTCTTCTGAGCACCAGCCCTGCATTCATACCTGCCTCCTGACTGGCCTCAGTTGACTCCAGCTTTCTAGTAATACGTACCAGTAGGGTCTTCCCAGGTTGAAGCCACATTGGGGAGGGCCTTTAATGACAGCCTAAGGAGGTTGTTTTATCCTGAAAGCAGTAGGAGATTGACTGAAGACGTTTGAGCAGGAGGGAAGTGTCAGATTTGAGCTTTAGGGAGATTATTATGGCAGCTGCTAGATGGATTGGAATTAGGAGAGAGAGTGGAGGCAAGGGGACCAATCAGAAAGCCACTATCATCTCCAAGTGAGAGATAAGGAGGTCCTGGACCAGGTGGTGGCTGTGTGAGATGCTATAGAAGCAAATTTTGATGTTAAAAAAAGGGTTTTATTAATAATGCCTTTTGTCTTCACATTGTAGCCATTTCAACCCCAATCCTCTCTAGGTTATACCTTCACTTGTAACAACAAAGCAAAAGCATCCAAGTAACCATCTCTGACCATGTATAGGATGCTTGGTGCCCCTAGTCTCCTACCCCTCTGCAGACTGGGAGGAGGAATATTTCATTCATCCTTCTTGTTGAGGCGAGACTGACAGAAGATAGATTGTAACTGATTGGATATAGGAAGTAAGAGAAAGGACAGTGTTAAGCAGGTGAATTTGAGTTTGTGTTCCTGGGAGGGTTGTGATGCCAATCAGAAAAATGGGAAAGTTTGGGGGAGCGGCCTTAGGAAGGAAGACAATGCTGCCTTTGAGGTAAGATGGGACATTCATCGAGGTGGAGCTGTCCAGCAGACACCGGCAGTCATGAAGCACTGGAAGAGAGACTGAGGCTCGTCTTGTACCTGTGAGATCATCAGCATGGAAGTGATACATGACCCTGGGAGAGCTGATGAAGCCATCAAGTGTGAATATATAGAGAGAAGAGTGCCCAGGTCAGGTACTCCATAGAAGACTAAGAAGGAATGGTCAGGAAGGTAGAGGGGAAACCAGGAGAAAGGAGGAGAGGATGCCTTATAGTGCTGATCCCAGTTGAAAAGGCCCAAAAAGGGTGATGAGAAAAACCTTGGAAGGTTCAGCTTCTACAAATGGTGGGGCTAGAAGACAGACGACAGGGAGGTGAGGAATGGTGGGGGAGGGGCAGTAAATCTAGGGTTATGGGCAAGCAAAGCACAAAAGCAAAGGGAGTGAAGGATATCTTACTTTCCATAAATGTATATATTCTCAGTACCAGAAATGTCTAAATGCCACACTATGGGTGATGGGCATTTATTTTGTGACGATTCAAATCACATGTGGAGGATCAAAACCTTGGGATTATCAGATCGTAGAATGTCAGAGCTGGGAGGGGCCTTAGAACAGAGAGTGTCAGGTCTGGGAGGGGCCTCAGAACAAGGAATGTCAGAGCTGAGACCCAACAAGAGAAAGGGACTTGATCTAGGTCATAAAGCTAGACAGTGGTGATTTTGAACCTGCATCTCTTCTAAATCCAGAACCTTTCTCACCTACCCCCACTTCCCATGAGAGTGGAGGGTAACACACAATGGAAACCATTGCTGACCTTACTTGCCCAGGAGGCACCTGGTGTGTGGGTGGGACTCTGGGTGGAACTGTAACAGAGAGGGGGAAATGGAAGGTTTAGCACCAGTAGGTAGTAGAGAGATATAATCTAGAGATAAGAAGGATGGCTGACAGAGAGCATCTGCTTTGCCCAGGTGCCCTGTTATGAAATTCTCTTTGTTCCACCTCAAGGGGCTACTCCCTTCTTCCTGAGGCCTCCCCAGGCCACTCCGCCTTTATGTGTTCTCTCCTCCAGTCTTTATTCCTCTCCGACATTTAACCTGCCTCCCCTACCATGCCCCACATTAGACTGGATGCTTCCAGAGGGCACAGGCTCCTTTGACTTCTCTGCACTGGTGAGAGGACAGAGCCAGCCAGGGTCTCTCTTCTGCCTTCCCTGAGGAGCGTCTGGGCTTCAAGCGAAGCAGATTTCACGGCATTTGTCAAGCTAGAGTTTAGTTCTTTCTGATAGATTCTTCCTGAATCATTGATTCAATCAACCAACAAGCGTTTGTGAAGTGCTTACTATATGCCAGGCACTGTGCTAAGCTAGGGGTACAAAGGGCAAAGTTGTACTGGCTGGTAACAACAAACCACACTCCAACAAACCAACATATATTAAGGTCCTAGTGTGTGCCAAATACTGTGGACATGAAGATAGAAACAAAACAAATAATCTTTAGAAGGGAATAAAGCATTTACTAAACACTGTGCCAAGCACTTTACAAATATTTTATCTCATTTTATCTTCACACAATCTGGAAGGTGGGTACTATTATTATCCCCATTTTACAGATAAAAAACTGAGGCAGACAGAAGTTAAGTGACTTGCCCAGGGTCACAGTGAAGAAGTGTCTGTGGCTGGATTTGAACTCAGGTCTTCCCACTTCCAAGTCCAGCACTGTGTACTCTGTGTACAGCTCTCTAGTTACCCCTTGTCCTTGCTTCAAGGAGCTTATTTTATTCTACTAATAGCATCTGCTTCCATTACTTCCCTCACAATAGCACTGGGGAGGGAGGAGATAGGAATCCTGAAAGGACTATTATCCTCCTTCTATAGAAGAGGGTTAGGAAGTGGAAGGGACTTACCCAAGGTCACAGAGTAAGTGGCAGAGTTGGGATTCAAACCCATGACCCTTGACTACAACAACTCCAGTGTGACCTCAGGGCTCAGGAAAGCCATAGACAAACGTGGTCCACTCTTGGGGCTGGGAAGAGGCAGGTAGTCTTCATCACTTGACTGGCAGACTCCACCCAGCATGACTGCCTCAATCACCAGGAAGGATGGCTACTTGGCTCTGTGGGTAGGACATCTGTGGACTGCTGGATCTCTAGACAACCCCAGACGACTTCACTTTGTTTTTTCTTGACCTCTTTGAATGTTTCCCCCTCTAGA